GTGTCAGACAACTCAGTTGGGTCAAGTTACAGATGAGTCAGGTTACAGGTGGCTAGAGTGCCAGGTTAAATGGATGACTGCTTAAAGTTGGTTGCAGATTGGGTCAGGTCAGCAGATGGTATTATAAGGTCTTGTTGGGTGAGGGCAAGGTCAGAAGTGTTATGTCAGGTTGGGCCGGGTTGGGCTGGGATGCTGAAACAAGCTGGGTTGGGGGTGTCCAAATGTCACTACGGGTCAGGGGAGGGGGTCTGTTGGACTTGGGCGAAGTCACTGAGTTGCTGGGAGGAGGTGTATCGGTCACATCAGTTTGGGGAGGTGTTGGTTTGGGTTGGGGGGGTCATTGGGTTAGTTCGAAGTGATGTCATGGTGGGTTAGGAGGGGTGTGTCACATTGCAGAATTGCCTCAGGTCAGGTCAGGGAAGTGACGGATTAAAGGATTGGGAATGTTGATTCAAGTTGGGTATCAGGTTGGCTTGTTGAGCACATCTCGGGTTGAAATAGGGAATGGGGTTGTCGGGTCAGGTCAGGAAGTGTCAGGTTGGAAGGGTGGCTTGGGGTTGGGGGGACCTTATCAGATCAAGGTTGAGGAACAGGGGTTGGGGAAAGGGGTTTCAGGTTCAGGGGGTGGCAGGGTGTCAATGGGAGTGTAATTGGGTGGCTGGGAGTAAGTCTGGAAGTCACCAGGAGCCACCATATTAATATAAGACCATAATAAATAGGAAAAGAAAGTAGGCCATTTGGCCCTTTGAGTCTGCTGAGCCATTCAATAGGATCATGGATGATCTGACATTCCTTACTGCGAGAGCAGGTGTTTTGTTTAAACATTTCCTGGGTACCTGTTAAGCTTAAGTGAATTAGAACAGACTAAAGTTTCCGACATCAGGAGCCTTTTTTGGAGGGTTCCTGATGCAAAGGAATTGCCTTCTGGAATTTTCAATATCCTGGGGAATTTCTGGAGTGTCAGCTACATCAGGATTTCTGCTTTAAATGTGGGTCACTGTTGTAGATTTCGACATATGAGTTCTGATGGAAGGTCACGGGTCTGAACTATTAAATCTGCCTCTCTTTGCACAGTTGCTACCAGGACCTGCAGAGTTATGTGTGACATCTTCTGTTTTTAACCTCTTTTTCATACATCACTAGATAGCTTGGCAGTATCTAAATTCCCAGAATTAGAAATGTAGACTGAGAGAAAATGTTTCGTAATTCGAGATTTTGTGGAAAGGGCTTTATGGGGACATTAAAAAATGCACAATAGGACAGCAAATTATTTTCAGATGTGCCGAGGTAATGGAACATGAGGGCACATATTCAATGGTTAAGAATAAATGCAGGAACAGATTGTTAGAAAAGGCATTTAAGGTCATATTAACAAAAAACTGATTTCGCTAAAAGAGGGCAGGAAAGTTCTAACTTTGGAAAGATATTAAGATTAATTGGGCCAAAACACTCTTTTTGTCCAAATTTATCTCCTAATCGTATGTAACTTTACTTCTGTATTGGAAAATGAAAAGCAATACCCTTATATAATTATACCTGATCAATAGTTAATGTAAAAATGAAATGAAAATGCAGCAGGAATTGGAATTTCACCCATGTGAAAATATTAGGCTTTCACTTGTATTATTAAGCTTGTTATTGCAAAATGGCTTATTTTCTCTAAATACCCAAGTTCCGACAATGGAATGGGAGTGTTTTTTCATATTTGCTGTCTCAGCTTCATACATATGCCTAATATGCTTTTAAATATTATCTTCATTAAAAGCTATTTGTAATTTTCAAAATAGGTAAAGGAATTTCATAATGGGTACATGCTATTATGACCTCTTCTTGCATTCTTAAATGTATCTCAGTAGCACTCTGTTGATTCCAGTAAACCAATGATCAAATCCTGTAAAGTATTCCCACATGAAGCATTACAGAAAGCAAGGAATACGTAGTGATTGTAACAAGGTCAGCCAGCTGGACCTCATAGAATACAAGTTCCCTGATTGGAGACGTTAACCTGGTCCAATCTGGGAGCCCTGGCCAACAGATAAAAAGAGGAGAGTCAGAAATTGCGACACTCTGGATGCTGACACTGACGAGGCTGCACCACAGCCAAGGACTTTCTGCATGTAAATAAAGGGTGACTATGTGGCAGGATACTGGCCTCTGTGGTGCTATTTCAGAGTAGAAACTGATTAAAATGTTCCTCAAATTCTGCATTAGCTTATCAGCAAATAATGCTGGAAGATATTCTAAGGTAGCAACACATTCTAAGGTTATAAGGGGTCTTTAGTTACTTGAAGTGCAAATGCCTTGAAAAGACAGTAAACAGCCCTATCTTATGTACATAAAGACTGTGAAGGCAGTGGATTAATGAATGTCCTTTTACAAAGATTAAATGCAGTCTCAACGACTTCAATAGGATCGCTAGCCTATTTGTTTGAAAGATAAAAATAATTGACAGAAGAAAACAAATTTCACAGAAACACAATTTTCCATTTATCTAGAATTCAGCACATCACACAAAATTAGAGATCTGTACAGCATGAATATTGCATTCAGGGCTAGATCATACAACCAAGGGATATGCTGGAAATGACTTGACCCATCTAAAATGTCTGTCAATAAATGGGGAGAAATGCAAGTATTATTCACGAGTTACTAATATATATTTAGTAAGTACGAGTAGACCCCTTGAGTAGATCATTAAAAAATCATTTCTGCCCTACAATATGGACAGAATTCTGGCTGAGTCAGACTGATTCCAAACCTGTTCGAAAAATAGTGGTGGGATTCGGATGTTGAAATGGTATCAAAGATGACTTGGAGACTCATCAGCACCTAAAACATTGGGGTGGGGGTTGCTGGGGAGAGAGAGAAAGATTAGAGAGAGACAGAGAGGGAGAGACAGACAGAGACGAGAAGGACTCTGTGTTTCTGAAACAACACAAGACCAAATTATTTAACAAATTAAGGGGACTAAAGGCAAACAGATTACCAGGACCTAATGGCCTGCATCCAAGAGTTTTGTAGAAAGTGGCTGGAAAGATAGAAGGAGGCATTGGTCGAAATATCCCTGAACTCACTGGATTCCTGGAGGGTTCCAGCAGATTGAGAAGCCATTAATGTGATGCCCTTTCAAGAAGGGAGGGACACAGAAAGCAGGAAACAATAGGTGTCTATTCGAATATCGGTCACTGGAAAAATGCCAGAGTCCATTCTTATGAAAGAAACAGCAGGACACTTAGAAAAGCTTAACACATTTAGAATCAACAAGATTTTGCAAAAATGAAATCAGGTTTGAAATATCTGATCAAGTTCTTTAAGGATATAACAGGCAGAGTTAAGAGAGCAGAATCTATAGATGTAGTGTATTTAGATTATCAAAAGGCATTCACGAAGGTGCCACTTAAACATTTATTGTATAAGATAGGAGTTCATGGTATTGGAGTAATGTATTAGCATGGATTGAGGATTTTTCCTTTATTCATTCATAAGATGAGGGTGTCACTGGTGAGGCAGCATTTATTGACCATCCCTAATTGCCCAGAGGGTAGTTAAGAGTCAACCACATTGCTGTGGTCTGGAGTCACATGTAGGCCAAACCAGGTAAGGATGACAGTTTCCTTCCCTAAAGGGCATTAGTAAACCAGATGGGTTTTTTCCCAACGATCAACAATGGATTCACGGTCATCATTAGAGTCTTAATTCCAGATATTTCTTGAATTCAAATTCCATCATCTGCCATGGTGGGATTCAGACCTGGGTCCCCAGAATGTTATCCGGGTCTCTGGATTAACAGTCCAATGATAATACCACTAGGTCATTGTCTCCCCTATGTTAACACACAAAAGTCAGAAAGTCAGGATTAGTGGACTTTTTTCAGGTTGGAAAGACATAATTGATGAAGTTCCACAAGGATCAGTCCTAGGGCCTCAATTATTTTTTATCCATGTTAATAAATTGGAGGAGGGGGCAGCATATGATGTATCAAATTTTGCTGATGGTACACAAATAAGTGGGAGGACATGTTCTGATGAGGACATGTTCTGATAAGGACATAAGGAATCTTCAAGGGGGTATGGATAGGTTGATTAAGTGGGCCAAATAACTTAGCAAATGAAGCAATATAGAAAAATGTGAGGTCATGTATTTTGGTTGAAACAATCAAAGGGCAGACTATTATTTAATTGGAGACTGATCCCAAAAATGTGCAGCACAGAAGGATCTGCACATCCTTGTGCATGAAACTCAAAAACACAGCAGGCAAGTGCAGCAAGTTAAGAAGGCAACTGAAATTTATTGCTAGGGGTTTGGAGTTTAAAACAGGGAAGTCTTGTTACAACTGTCCAGGGTGAGATTGCACTTGGAGTACTGTGTACAGTTTTGGTTCCTATATTTAAGAAAGGATATACTGACATTGGAGGCAGTTATAAAAAAAATGCATTGGTTGATGTCTCGGACGAAGGGGTTGTCTTATTACAAAGAACAGCTAAACAAGTTAGGCCTTTATTCATTACAGTTTAGAAAAATAAGGGGTGATCTTATTGTAACGGACATGATTCCAAGAGGCTTTCACTGGGTAGAGGTGGAGATGTTGTGTCCACCAGTGGGAGAATCTTAACTAGGGTGTATAGTTACAGAAAAAAGGAGAAATCATTTAAAACTGAAATGGAGAGGAATTTCTTCTCCCAGAGAGTAGGGGATTGTTGCAGATCTCGATCCCGAGAGAATTATGGAGATTAGATCAGTAAAAATGTATAAAGAGGAGGTAAATAGACTTTTGAAATATCAAAGAGTTAATGGCAAACAGGAGTTTGGCATGAAAGAGGAGCTGAGGCCTGGGACACATGGGAGGGACAAATGATCTACTCCTGCTCCTATTTCGTACATCCTTATGTATGAAATAATTTGTTTAAGTGGCAGGGGTCTTAAGTTATTTAAATCATTCGCCCTCTAGTTAATTTTTATTCACTCATGGGGTGTGGCATCGCTGGCTGTTCTGAATTTACTGCCCGTCTCTAGTGTTTGGAGGGAAACTTGAAAGTGGTGGTGTTCCCATCTACCTTTGTTTTTCCTTTCAGGTGAAGTGGTCATGGGTTGAGAAGGTGCTGTCTAAGGATCTTTGGTGAATTTCTGCAGTACACCTTGTAGATAGTACACACTACTGTTACTGAGTATCAGTGGTGGAAGGAGCGGATGTTTGTGGATGTAGTGCCAATCAAGTGGGCTGCTTTGTCCTGGATGGTGTTAAGTTTCTTGAGTGTTGTTGGAGCTGCACCCATCCTGGCAAGTTGGGAGCATTCCATCACACTCCTGACTTGTGCCTTGTAGACGGTGGACAGGCTTTGGTGAGTCAGGAGGGGAGTTATTCACAGCAATATACCTAGATTCTGACCTGCTCTTGTAGCCACTGTGTTTATGTAGCGAGTCCAGTTGAGTTTCTGGTCAATGGTAATTCCCAGGATGCCGATAGTGGGAGATTCAGTGATGGTAATACCATTGAATGTGTAGGAGCAGTGGTTAGATTATCTCTTTTTGGAGATGATCATTGCCTAGCATTTGACTGGAACAAATGTTACTTGCCACATGTCATCTCAAGGCTGGATACTATCCAGACCTTGCTGCATTTGAACATGGACTGCTTCAGTTTCTGAGAATTCACAAATGATACTAAACTTGCGCAATCATCGGTTAATGTTCCTACTTCTGTACTGATAATGAAGTACTGGTCATTGATGAAGCAGCAGAAGGTGGCTGAGCCTAGCATACTACCCCGACTCCTGCAGAGATGTCTTGGAGTTGAGATGATTGACCTCCGACAACCACAGCCACCTTCCTTATGTGCCAGGTATGATTCCAACCAAACGGAGAGTTTGCCTCCTGATACCCATGATTCCAGCTTTGCTATGGCTTCTTGATGCTACACTCAAATGCGGCCTTGATATCAAAGGCTGCCGCTTTCACCTGACCTCTGGAATTCAGCGCTTTTGTCCATGTTTGAACCAAGGCTGTAATGAGGTCAGGAACTTAGTGACTTTGGCAGGACCCAAACTGGGCAATATTAAGAAAATCAAATTGAACGTGTCATTGAGAGTAAAAAAGCTGCTACTGGAGTGCATTCACTGAAATGCTTTCAGGTGTAGCTTGAAGAAAAACACATGTAATTTCAATAGACTTCATTGTTGAAATTTCCCAAAGGCTCCTATTCTCATTGAGCCCGTTATGATTATTTTGCTAAGTTTCAAATCTCCAAACCTTCTATCTCAGCAAGGAGGTGTGCTTTTGTTATTGTTGATAGTTTTATAAGGCTACTAAAGGATGAACTTTCTTTTATATGGTTAGTGAATAAAAGTTTTTTTTTAACAAATTGGCCACTTAAGGGGATTTAAATCTTTGAAGGGATTTCATAATTAGGACATTTATTTCTGTATCAAGTATGCATGAATAAGAACTCTTTTATATCGTTAAAGTTATCTTTGTCCTTCTCCACATAGCTCCTGAGATTAACCAAAAGTGGATATTCGATGAGTGGATAGGGCGGGTGGCATTGGGTTATGTGGCATTGGGTTAGCGGCACAGTGGCTCAGTGGGTAGCACTGCTGCCTCACAGCGCTAGGGGCCTGGGTTCAATCCCAGCCTGGGTGACTATCTGTGTAGAATTTGTACATTCTCCCTGTGTCTGCATGGGTTTCCTCTCGGTGCTCCGGTTTCCTCCCACAGTCCAAAGATGTGCAGTTAGGTGAATTGGCCATGCTAAATTGTCCTAGATTAGGTGGGTTATAGGGGGATGAGTCTGCATGGGATGCTCTGCAGTTCAGCGTGGACTTGTTGGGCCGAAGGGCCTGTTTCCACACTGTAGGGATTCTATGAGATGGCATGGAGGGATGGTGGGAGCAAAGGAGGGGGATTGTTTTGGGATGAGGGCTAGAAGGTCTAAAATTGGATCAACATCGAAGAGAACCAAAGCCTTTAACCAGACTACCTGAGCAATTGCCCACTTAGTGACCCTGTAGGCATAACTTGATCATACCACAGCTCTCCTTCATTCGTATATGGGTTATTATCATGGTGATCTTGTTAAGCTGATAGATTTCTCAGCTCAGCCTCCTGCCTCCATCGTGAAAATCCAACACTTAGTGTTGCCTTGAAAGAGTACTCTAAGGAATGTACGGCACCAAGTTTTCGGAATCTGCTTAAATTACCTTCCATCTAAATAAAGGTCAGAAGAAATCAGAACAGGATCACCATACGGCATTTGAGCCTGCTCTGCGTTTGAAATAAGATGACGGCCAATGACCTACCTCACTTTACTTTCCTGCCCTTTTGGAATATCCCTTGATCCCCTTAGTATCCAAAGTATACTAATTTAAATCTTTGAATATGCCAAGCAGCCACACATCTCTGATGATTTACAAGCATATTAGTGAAGAAATTTATCCTCATTTCCATGCAAACCAGTGAACCATTATCGTGATAAATAAATTAATTAATTGTTGCTCTGAGCCTATACAATGGTAAAATAATTTGATTGTCTAAGGGGCGTGCAGGCATTTCTTTGCCATTTTGAGCCAGACAATGCTGAGCATCCAGGAATTAACATAAAAAGGCAGCTCCCTATCTCATTGTCGTTGGCCAATCAGATGAATGGAGTCATACCAACATAACTTAACAAAAAATAGTTGCCATTTAATGGAATGGGATTTTTAAAAAAAATCATTGGGAAAAAGCAGTTGCTATTGATGGTGAGGAAGTTGTATGTTTTACAGGCAGCAACCAGCACTCATGAATAAATTGCAGTTAAAATCTGTGATGCCCAAAATATATAAATTAGATAAAAGAAGAAATCTTTGCATGGCAATTAATTAATTAATGCAGCTGTCATTGTTAACTTAATTATTCAACGGATGGAAACAGGCAAAAGAAAATTTTTAAATCAATGTGGGCAACTTTTACATTAATTATGCGGCAGTGGAGAATGAAGAGTTGGGCTGGGAATATGATACAAAAATTAATTTTACAGCTGCTGTCTGAAGGAAGCAAGGGCAACTGGAACCTTTACTTGATTTACATTGCTGCTGGGGCTTGGTGCAGGGTTGAAGAGATGTAAAGCAACAACTCACCAGGTCTCTTTCTGACCAAAAGACAAAGACAGCAGATGCTTGGGAAGACATGAGCTGCCAGTTCCCCATCAGGCCACACACCATCCACATCACATTTCGTTCACTATTACTTGGTCAAAAATGCTGGCATTCCTTTCCTAACAAGATACTATCTTCCCACGCAGCCCTCCCTCCACCAACTTCCTCTCCACAAAAGGGCTGCAGTGGTTCACCACCACCATCTCAAGGGAGATTAGAGGGGGATAATAAATTTTGGTCCTTTCAGTGACGCTCACTTGCAGTAAAAGAACAATAAAAGAATGTTTCCACTGGCAGAAAAGGCCATTAACTTGACATCACAGACTTAAAGTGATTGGAAAAAGAACTTCCACCTCCATGAGGAAAGATATTTTACACAACAGGTTGATCTGACCTGGAATGCTCCGCCTGGAAAGATGGTGGATATGGATTCAATAAAATTGAATAACTACGTGAAGGAGAAACAGATTGTGGGGGGAAGTGGGAGCAGTGAGATTAATTGGATAGTCCCACCTCAGAACTAACAGAGATAGATGGAATAAATAGTCTGCTGCTGTGTTGCACCATTATCAGACATCTTGTTTATTCATTCACGGGATGAGGGCATCGCTGGCCAGGCCAACATTTATTGCCCATCCTTAAATGTCCAGACGACAGTTAAGAATCAACCACATTGCTGTGGGTCCGGAGTTACATGTAGGCCAGACCAAATAAAGATGTCAGTTTCCTTCCCTAAATGGCAATAGTATACAAGATGGGTTTTATTTCCTGACAGTCAACAAGCTTGCCATGAGACTCATAATCCCAGATTTTTGTTGAATTCAAATTCAACCATCTGCCTTGGTGGGATTTGAGCCCAGGTAATGTTCTATGAGCTAGTGGTGATTATAACACTCGGTCACCACCTCCGCTAACTGATGGGCTAGATATTCTGAGGACCAGCAGTCAGACACAGATTGCTGCTCCACCCCTACTTAGTTATGAAAGAAGGGATATCTGTAATTCTGAGATGAAATTCCAAGCAGAACTGCCTTAGAATTATGGAGCCGTAGCTCAGTTCCCTCGGTTCTCTCATATTATACAACAGTCAGGGAAAGACAAAGCACATTCCCTTTTCATAGCAGTCAGCTGCCATATTCAGTCAGTTAATGGTCAACATAGCTGCTGTCAGATGGTAAGTCCATAAGAAAGTAGGATGGTAAGGTGCAGGATGCATAGGGGCATAACGTACCAGATAAGTAGGGTGCCAGGTGAATAGGGTGCCACATGGGTAAGGAGTATGGAGCCAGGGAGGAGGGGGTGTAAGGTGCCGGATGGGTAGGGAGTAAGGTGCTAGGTACGCAACAGTGCCAAACAGTGTTTCAGTCAGGTAGGTCAGGGTGGGTGGAAGAAATCGGATCCAGCAGTGGCAAGGGGTTGGGGTGTGGGGTCAAGGGGGTGGTCCAGTCCTGTAGCAATGGTAGGGGAGAGGAGTAAGTTGCAGAGTGGGTGTCTAGCAGCCAGGGTAGAGAGGTTGAGTGTGATGTGAGAAAAATGAAGAGTTGTCCAGTGGTGATGAAAGGAGGGGCTGAGTGCAGAATCTTCAGTAGAACGTAAAATGCCGGGTACGGAGGGTGCTAGCTGGGCGGTTTTTTTCAGGATGTTGGATGCAACAGGAGTACAGGGTAGGGTAGCAGGTAAGTAGGGTGCCAGATGGGTGGGATACCAAGTGGGAAGGGGGTAGGGTAACAAGTGGTATGCTACCAGGGTGCAAGGTGGCGAGGAAGTCAGCTAAGTGATGCAGTGTTAGGAGTAGGTCAGAGTGAGTGGGAGAAGATTTCAATGGAGACTTTTGGACAGTTCCAGGCACAGAGGAATTAACCACCAGAATCTTCTTTG